TTTAAGTTAAATGATCAGTCTGAACTGAATTTTCTTTCTCTTACTAGTTTGATATTTTCTCGAGTCCTTGAACTTATTGCTGTTTATTTGTTTACAGACTACTTCTGAGGTAAAACTGTGGAAATACACTGAATTTACTTTCCCTGGTTTATAATGTGAAAGTCAGCTTTTACATTACGGCACAAAGTTGTAGACGAAGATCATCCATGACAAGTTTTAGCTTGGTGAAATCTTTTTTTAATAGCTAAATGAGAAATGGAACCTGGGTGTGGAAAATATGATGTTGCCCTGCTTCTAGCTGGAGAAATAGGAGTGGATGTTATTTCTGAACTTATTAAATTGTCACTAACAGATAAAAAAGGAGATGACAACACCCGCAGAATTTTGAAACCAAAATACAAACAAACTTCTCTTCAATCTCTAGCCTGCTTCTGCTGTGCAGAGTGCAAAACCTGATGATGTTTTTCTTTCTAAAGGCCATTGGGAAGGTCTTCTAAAAGTTGCAGTTTAACACAGATGTTCTTTCATGTCTAGTGCCTCTGTGAGTTTGTAATTAGTGGTAGAATATTTGACCCTTTCTTTGTATTAGAACTCTGTTTTGGTTTCTGCTGTGGAGGTCAGATTCCCCGTGTGTCTGTCTTGGCCATGCCAGGTAGGGCCTGAATTGCTTCTCTCCTTTAGATGAGGAAAAATTATTGCAGTGGGAAACAAAAAGTGAACTGTGGTGCAGGATCCTCCCGCACAGCCCGAAGGCTGGCAGCTCTCGAGGCAGTGATACCTGGGCTGAAGGGACTACCTTGTGGCTGTTACCTGTCTCTGGTGGCAGGATACTTTCAAACATGGTTATGCTGGGACTTTATTTTAAAATAAAGACTAATTAGGTGTTCTTTGGTAAGAATGCAGAAGTAAATCTACTCTATTCTTTAGGACAGTAAATTTTTTTTTCCACTGGAACTGCAGCTTTCTTAAAGTCATTTTTTAAACAAGAGGAAGAATTGTACTTCTAACTTGCACCATCCATTCATTATATGTTAAAGTGTATCAGTATGTGTATTAATATCAATTAATGATCTTTATTAGAAATTAGTTCGGTCCAGCTTACAAGTAACGCTAACCAAAATGAAATGCTAATTTTATTTATTTATTTATTTAAAATTTTAAACTACATTCAGTAAACCAAGATTGGTTTCTAGGGGTTTTTTTGGGCTTCAGAGTATATGTATGATTTGAAGGAACTCAGCTGTGCAGCTGTGACACACGATTAGAGTAGTGAATTAAATTGGGAAAACTCTGCTGTGGGCAAAACCTGCAGTATCCTCCGGTGCTTGTAACAATAAGTAGTTGATACAAATATCAATAGAAGTCAGGTGTGGTAAGAGAAGCAAAGAATGCAGCTGAAAATAGTAAAAATTACAGCAGTCCTTACCTATTTCTTCGGCTTGCTGCAGTGAAGTTGAAAAAAGTGATAGCCTGTGGTGAGGTTGGTTTTAGTGGGTACTCTTATTATTTCCTAGACTTGTAAAAGTGCGTGGCAAACATACAATAATGTGCTTGTTGTGTTGTTTTTAATAATTAGGTGACTTCTAAGGTGGGCAAAGGAAATAAAATATAAAATCTCCATCACTGCTGCCTTTTTAGGGTAGTTGGCATTTGTCATTTCACCGTTCTGGTAGCACAGGCCACGTCTGAGGTGGCACGGATTCTTTTAGCTTGTGTGTAGTACAGAATAAAAATTAATTTTCAGTTATGGAACGAGTTTAGGAAAAAAATGTAGACTTGCTGGCACATATGCAGTAGTAGTTAGCTGAAATGATCTATAGGAAGCCACTTACGTGAATTAATTACCCTGGTTACTTGTTAGGAGCTGAATTTTTATTTTTCAGCTAGCCATAGATAGTCAATTTTAGACTGCAGAGTAGACCAAATGCACATTTTAAAAATGCCGTTTTGTTGGGTTTGACCATAGTAATGTGTGCAGTCTAATGGTATGGATGGTTGGGATGTACCGGATTAGTTAAGAAATTAGTGTATCAAATTATTTTTAGTGCTGCTGTGAAGGATGCAATGAAACACTGTAGTATACAGATCAGAATATTCTTACTGTGGCCAGTATTAGCTTGCCAGTCCATCAGCTTCCCCTCCTGTTTGTCTGCTCCAGTTTTGAGTTCTTAACCAATTTGTGATACTGTTCAACATGCCACAGACTATTTGAGTGCAGCTAAATAAGTAAAATCAACCAAAGGAGAAGAGAAAAGGCTATAATTTGCTCATTAAGTCAAAATCTTGACGTTATTTTAAGATTTTTTTGGTCTTATTTTATAGCTTCACACTTTCTCAGACTTCACCAACTGCATGTGTTCTAATGGATAAAACGGTCTTTAAAGAAGCCCTGAGGATAGAATATGGCTTTAGAGATAAAATGTTAAGCAAAGACCTAATCTTAGATAAAGATTAAATACATAATTAGGGAAATACTTTTGACATAGAGCAGTCTCAGTAGGGCTATCAAGATGTCTGTGAAATATTTTCAGTGTGAAGGGAAATGAAAAGCAGTCTTCACAGTTAAAAACAAAACAAAACAAAAACCAACAAAAATATCTCTGTAGATGAAAGCCTCGGATGATGATGACGAGGACGAAGATGAATTTGTGGAGGTCCCTGAGAAGGAAGGTTATGAGCCCTACATTCCAGACCACCTGCGTAAGGAATATGGTGAGTTTGCCCAGCTGTGACAAGCTTTATCCCTGCATGTTACTGCTGCACTAAAGTAAATAAACAGCCATTCTGAAGTAATAAAGTGATCAGCGGTGTGGGTAATCTCTGCCTGCTATGAGGAAGTCATTACATAGATACGGGAGCAGCGATTGGCTGTAGATAAACAAATACTTTCTAGGAGCAAGAGCAACTGAGACGAGAAGCTTATTTCATTCCATCATGTCCCACTGTAGTTTAGAGCCAGAAGCAGCACCGTGTATGCTTACAAGTGTGCTAAACACATACTTACTGGGAGTGAAGGGATTGCAAAGTAAAGCTGTAAATGAGCCTGAATATTAGAAATACTGGTAACAGTCTGGTGAGATGGGGTAAGGTTTGGTACTGTCGCCTGCCTTCATAGGAGTTGGAGATGCGCAGCCACTTCCTCCCATAGGGTGGCCGAGTTACAGCTCAAAGGCGGCTGGTTTTTGTTTGGGTGTTGCTGTCGTAAGATCTTAAATGGAGCTTAGCCTTCAAGTGCAGAATTACAGCTACTGAGCACATACCAGACACAAAATATAACTTTGCCTTCTCTTAATGCATTCTAAAGATTATTTTTTTAAAATAGAATGTGGTTTTATGAAATTCAGGGGGGAGTTACTGAAGAAAGTTCATCCTAAATAACTAAATTTCAGTGCATTACTCTCTTTTGTACATCTAGCTTACTAAGTGTCTGCAGCTTTACCTCTGTGTAGCACTCTGTATTTTAAGATTCAGAAGATTTCAGTACCTGGTAGAGGAGGGGAGAGTAGCTGCCACCGCACAGAAGTTAAAAACCTTGGACACTGGAATAAGTTTCTCGCTCCTGTGTTTCTCCCTGAGTATTTGTGTAAGACTGTGCTGTGTTGTGCCTTTTTCAATCCTGCTCATGCTTGCTTTTAACTTATCCGTGATTTCCATCATAAAAGTCAGGCTGCAGCTATTATCTGTATAAGCCAAATGTTTCTTTTTGCTGAAGCCATGGGTGTGCCTGTGTAAACCCAAGATGATGTAGCTCAAGTGACCTTTTTACTGTCTTCTGCTGTCAAATTTGACTACGATGGCAAAAGGTCATCAGTAATGATAACCTGTAGTGGCTGGGGTCAGCTCAAGGATGTCTCCAGGTGTGAAGTCCTGCTAGTGCCTCAGTCCATCTACCCCACCTAAACCGAACCTGCCAGGAGGACACCCTAGGAAGTAAGACCTGCATTGGTTATCTGTGTATCTGCGTTCCCCACCTAAGGACTTGCAGCAAGTCCAGCTGGCTGCTTCCAGTTAGTTTGAAGGAGGTAGATGTCTCTGGGCCTTTAAAAAAATGTGGAAATTAGCAGCTATCTAGAGGACTGAGATCAGACTAGTGCCCTGGTGAGCAGGTAGCTGCAATGTGGTTTAGCACAACTCTTAGAGTAGGCGTTGCCTGAAACAGTCTGTAGGTGCTTACTTTGTCCAAGCAAGAGCTGGGGAAGATGAAGTGGGACGGGGAGTGTTGAGATAGTGAAATGGGAAGTGGGTGTGTGTGTGAGACAAAAACACAGAACAGTGGTGAAGGGCTGTAGGATGCAAACTGAGGAACTGGGCAGCTTTTTGGTTTTTTGTTCGTGGGGAAAAAAATGTTGTGATACAAGTATGTGTTGGCTTTCCCAACTACTTCAGTCTTGCAATGGATACTGAATGAGTTCTAATTATTGCTAACAGTGGGACTTTCAAAAAGGGAATATAATGGAAGAGAGGGGTAGCAGCCTTCCAGTTGTGAAAAGCTTGTAATCTTGGCCCCCTCTCCCTTTCCTCCCCTGTCTTCCTCGTGGACACGTGGTTTTGAAAAATAAAGCATCTCACCACCCTTTGTATAACACTAACACAATACCTTGCTGCTATTTGAATTCTTCCTCATGGAAAAAGATAAAACAACAAGCCTACCATCTACTCAAGGATATTTTAAAAATCTATATAAAATGGATTAAGAAATGGCCAATTTGTATTTGAACTGTTGCTAATAGGAAAACACAGTGAAGATGACAATCGATCAGAAAACAAAACCCCTCTCTCATTTTCTATACATGTAGTTATATAGGAGCTAATGATCACATTTGGCTGGTCTTTATCTGATGTGCTTGTTTAAAATAGTGTTTTGAAAGAAGTAAACTATTCTTGATGTTCCTGAAGGCATCCAGCTTTTCTTGCTGCCATTCAAAGCAATTTCTGAAAAGAACTCAGGCAAACTTTTAAGCATGTGCTTTCTTCTATCTTTGTGTACTTCGGTGCTTTCTTGGACCAACTGGTCAGTTACTAGTTCAAAATCTGTTTCAGAAGCTGATCTATAACTGTTGTGGAAATCAGCGGTCTTCTGTGTAACTAGTTCAGGTCTGCATGAGGAAAATGGAGAACTATATTTGCTCTGCTGGATTCTGTTCTGCATGTGTTTTTAATGAGCAAAACCGAACTAAGTATCCCTTTGGCACATTTAGAAAAGTGAATTATCGTATTAAAATAGACAAGAATATACTGATTTCATGTTAGCATGGTGTCATCAAAAGTTGGCTGTCTTAGGCAGCCACCTTTAATTAATATGGTGCTTTGTTCCATGTGCAAGTGCAGTTAATAGCAGGGAGTTTAGCTTTATCATAATATAATCCAGGTGGGGTTTTGCTACATTTCTTTAGTTCACACTTAGTTGATGAGGACTCTGAGCTAAGAAACTCAAAGTCTGTGCAAGTGGAATGTTCTAACTGGAATGTTAAACCTTCCAGGTAAAATAAAATCTCAGTGTTAAGCAGAAGGTGTGAACATTTTAGAGCTGCTTTTTTTTTTTTCTTGTTTTGCTACTTTTCCTGAATGATCCAAGAAAAGTGAACAGCTCCTCAGATTAACTTTTTATACTGAGCAGGAAAACAAAGTTGTAAAACATGACTGTGGAAATGGATTGATACGTAACATTTAAATTATTTATTTAAGAGTCACTTTATTCCCTTTCACTTCTCTTAGGACAATAGAAGTATCCTACCAAAAAGGTAAATTTCAAGCTGAGATGCTGTTTCTGATGATGCATATGTGTATTTGTGGTTCTCCTGAGATCTGAAAAGTTTGTGAAAAATGGGGAGGTATTTAGAGATGGATGAAGTTTTGTGTGCGTGAGTATATAGGTGTGTAGCTGTATTATCTGTGTGTATATGTAGTTGATGATGATATCATCAAAATTTATGATGATATTTAATGTATAAGATGAACTGAGCATGGGTACAGTTTGGGTGGAGGGAGAATGGAACAAGTCAATTTGAATCTCCATGTATAAGGTGAAATGTAAATTTGTTAAAAGAATTTAGGTGATTAGATAACTGAAGTGTGAAGATATAACCCATTAGGGGTGTCATGCCAAATTAGCATTACCAGACTTTTAATGACCTCCCATTTGTATAATCCTTATTTACACTTGCACCTGATGTCTGCAACAGACAAGAGACCAGCCATCCTGCGGTACCACAGAGCCATTTGAAATACATCGTGTTGCTAAAGAGGACTATTGGGCTGAGGAAAGAAACAACGCTGTGAAAATCATTTTCATAGAGTTACTCTGGTTCTCGGCACTCTGCACCGATGTTACTTATATCCATTGCCCTTGTATGGCCAGTATTGCTAACCCCTTAAAAGCTGAGGTGTTAGTCATTTAAAAGACAGCTTTAGGGAGAGAGAAAAATCTTGTTTCCACTTGATATTTCCCACATGCCAGCCTCTGCTGGTCAGCTGTTGATTGCATTGGCATAAAGCCTTAAGGTGGATAAGGTAAGGGATGGAACTGCGTGGCTTCGGACGTCCTTCTTGTGCTGTAGACAGAATTTGGTGCTGATGCCAGGATACAAGATTCCTTCCTGCCCTTGGTAGTCTTGGTGTAGCTTGCAGCTGAGCTCTGAACTGCTTGGGAAGTGATCTGTTTTGAGAGAGGTGCTTTTCCGTGTAAAAATGGAACAATTCTCAGATCTAGTTTAAAGCACCCACCTCCAGCAACTGCTGTCTGCTAATGGGTTTTCTCAGTTCATAATTCTTGTCTGTGTCTCAGTGCATGCATGTGCAGTACTACTGCGAGGTACAGGGAAGTGCTGTTGCCATTTTACAAGTGATGATATGAGGAAGCCGTTTGACTTGGGAATATTAGCATGGAAGCAGTCTGCTGCTTATCAGGTTTCATCTTTACCCAAAATTATATGAGAAATGACTGTACAGTCCAGAACACAAACCATTATTTCATATCCAGTTAATCAGATTATTTTTCTTGTGATTGAGTCTTAAAATTTTTTAGATCCCTGATAGCTACTTCAGTGGTTCATATTGCATCTTAAAGCCTGCTTGGGATTTCTTTTGTATCAGAATCAAAGCTGCAGTTCTAAAATCCCAAGGGATAGTTCTATCCATTTCAGAAATTATTCCTTCTTCCCATCTCAGTGATGTGCTTTTGTGGGTTAGATGTCCCTACGCTGCTTTTCCTAATCTGGTGGTGTCTGGGTCATGCCTTTTCTCTGTGTTAAGTAGCTTTTTTTCCCAGTGTGAAATAGCAACATGGGAAAGAAGGCTTATACCCCAATTGAATAAATAAGTTGTACAAAACCAGACTATTTCCTTAGTAGAGAAGCTGCCACCTCTCTTTTACGTAGAATTAGGAATGCTTCAGACTACACAAGCTATTCTAGTGCAGCTCTCACTGAGCATTTTAGAGATGTGAATAAACTTGCTATTGTGGCCATTCGTTAAAGGTGTGGGGCTTTTACAGGTTTTGCGTTTTCTGTGAACATATAAAAGCCTGGATTAGAAATAACAATAAGATACTGCTTGGACTAATGCCCGCTTGAATTTTCACATTTGAAGCGGTAAGTCATGCATTTGGGGGCGTTTATTCAGAAAATTGCACTTCTTCGTATTGACTAGGTGTACCCTCGTCTGTACTTAAGCAGCAGACTTCCACACGTATTGTTTTAAAAGTTTTATTGTCT